AGAGAGAGAGAGAGAGAGAGAGAGAGAGAGAGATGTAAATGTAGGGTTTTAAGGAAAGAATTTATAGTTCTAGCGAGAGAAAAAATAACTTCTTCCACACGACTTTTGCTATGTAAGTTAAAATAACTTTTTACTCAACTATTAATTCTTTTAATGCTACGGAACACGTAAATCCATTTGTTTCTTCAAAACTGGAGCTCCTTAGGTTCTTGGATATTTAATATGTGTGGGGTATCGATCGTACGTTAGGTCAAAAATATCAATGTGTTAGAGTAATTTTTTTCAAACGGCCTCTAACCTACTTTTAAATTGTATATTTGTCTTAAAGAAACACTTTGAACCTTCAAATTACTAGTTAAGAGGCTTCTTTAATACCACTAATATATATATATATATATATATATATATATATATATATATATATATTACGTTGAGATTCCAAAAACATAAAGATTTTGGTATTCAACCTCATGCCACATATTATTCATTATTTGTTCTAAAGATCCGACTACTGACAACAACAGGGTATGCTTAATTATAAATAATTATATAACAGAGAAGTATAATCATATATAATTATACATGTATTCCTAATCATAAATGGTTATATATATATATATATATATATCAAAGAGATAATAAGGCTGGTTTTTTTTTTCTATTCTGTCCTAAATTTCTTTTTAAAAAAAATACTGTAGTTAATTGATAAATGTACATAAATAATAAATAGTGTTGTCGATGTATGTTTATTGTTTTTTTAACTGAATATATTATTGAATTTAAATAAATGACATTGTGTTTCAATTTGAATGATAAACAATAATCATATATTGAAAAGCCGTTTTATATTAAAATTGTTTATTTTTCTGAATTAGAAAACATTTAAAAAATAACATGGCTATTAGCTTAGTTTGAACATAATTTACAATAAATTCAAATAATAAAATTAAATTCAAACAATTAATACTTATATATATATATATATATATATATATATATATATATATATATATATATATATATAT